GGCACCATGACAATTGACTTCCATCAACCACCACCCTCCGGGTCCAACCACGGAGCCAATTCCCAGCCAGCAGATCGTGGTGGACCCAAGGCCACAGTTGGCCAGTTTTGCCAAGAGGTAATCATGGGATATCAGATCAAAAGCTTTTTGAAGTCAAGATATATGACATCAATCTCCTCTCCCTTGTTCAGGTGATAGGTCACCTGGTCATAAAAGGAAATAAAATTGGTCAAGCAAGACCTACCCACAACAAACCCGTGCTGGCTAACCCGCAGGATGTTGGCATTGGCCAGTTCGTTAAGAATGGCCTCTTTGATAAGCTTTTCTAAGACCTTCCCCGGGATTGAGGTCAGGCTGATGGGCCTGTAGTTTGCCAGGTCCACTTTCCTCCCGTTCTTGAAGACAGGCACCACATTGTCCTTCTTCCAGTCTTCGGGCACTACACCAGAGCGCCAGGAACTTTTGAAGATCTGTGCCAGGGGCTGGGCTATGATGCTCACCAGCTCCTTGAGTACCCTGGGGTGCAGACTGTCAGGGCCGGCTGACTTGAAGTTATCCAGCCTCTCAAGGTGTTCCTTCACGAGGTCAGCATTGATTTAAGGAGATGCCTTCCTGCTTCTATATTTGTTATATGTGAGCTCTCAGGATAAGTCCTAATTCAGGCACCAAGTTCCCATTCTGTACGAGTGAGTTCATTTTTAAAGAACACTTTCTCACCTCTGACTGCTCTCCACATACCTGTTTTCCCTCCACGCCTGGCTTCCCAGGGAACCCGTCAAAGCCTCGTTCTCCCTAGGGAAAAGAAGAGAAGTTAAATGATGACCCACATTGTAGTCATTTTGTAAGAAACGTTTCTGCTTACAGAGCTGCCATGCATCCCAGTGACAAGGCTGAGGCAGGGGAGGAAGAAAAGCAAGGAAGCGATGCAGGAAGACCTGGATGGCTCAACTGAGAGACGGGCAGTGGTTTCAGAAGAATGGTGCACCCCGCTGGAGTGCTCTCAGGACCACAGTGCTGACCTGGTCAGGGAGGGAGCCCCCAGGCCAGCCATGCAGTTATTTTCCAAGCACACAGAGAGGCCAAAGAGACTGTGGGCATGAGTCAGGGGGAGCGCTTCTTGAGGAAACCCCTTCCCAGGACCAGGGTTATATCAAGCATCCCATAGCACACTAGTTAGTAAGGGCGCTTGAAGTGGGGAGAAGGCATGAGCAGGTAAGTGCAAACTCAGCACTGTGAAGCAGATAGCAGAGCCAGTATTTCATGGCGCCGCTCTCTCGAAGGCTGCAAGGTGAGGAAATGAACAGCTTCCCTTCCCCGTTGCCTCTGAGAATACTATGGACATGCGACTGGCCAGCCGTCGTGACGATCCAACCATTACAATCAAGAGGGAACTAGTGGTTTCCAATACCCACACGGCTCTGCAGCTTCCCTTCAGCAGTTCTTGCAAGATGCCTGGGAAGTTTGGCTGCCGAGGGTGCTGCTTCCCCCCTTCCCTGTGGAGCAGCACACGAGCCGCAGCTCCAGCAAAAGCTGAGCTGGCTTGGTCAGGAGGGGGCTGTACATCTGTACGCTACCCAGGTGGCACAAGCTTTAAGTGCTCCAGCAAAGGCAGAAATTGAGGTGCTTCCTTGTGTACATCCGTCTGAGCCCTGTTAGACCTCAGCACATCATCCTGAAGTTATAACACAGATCTCAGCATCTTAAAAGCATGGCTTGGGGACAGGCGGCAGACAGACCAGGAGGTTCAACTCTTGCCTCTCCCTGTGACTGGGATGCCCATGTGCAAAATGAAGATCATATTTCCTTAATCTCATCTTGCATCTGTCTGATCTTTTTAGATTTCATGCTCTTGGAAGCAGGGGCAGTCTTACACCAAGTGCATGTTCATCACCCAGTAAAACAGAGCCCTGATTTTGCCCGGGGGCTGTAAGCACTCATCGTGTTAGCTCGAGGCTGTGGTCACCTTGCCTGGTGCTGATAATGATGATTCCTGCTACAAAGGCAGACTTAGTTTGATAAAGGGGTGTAGGTTTTAGCCATATTGGTCTAAGGACATAGGCAGACAAGGGTCTTCGGGTGAATTAAAAGATATCAGAGAACCTTGCCTGCCTTAGTTTGATAAAGACATACAAAATAACTAGAACTCTTGGTACCAAAATGATACCTTTTATTAGTTTGAGAAATACATTTTACCACTGGAGGGAGCTATGTGCAACAAAATATCAGAATTTTACTCCTAATAGGCTTTCTAACCCATAATGCAAATATTTAACTTCAGCAATTATCAGCAAACCGGTGCTTATAGCATTAGATTTAATGACCTGATGTTGTAAAAAAAAATGCATTGATTTAGCCAGCTGAAAATGGAGTTGAAACTCAATTAATTGATGGACCCTCCCCTCCTTAAATAAAAAAAAAAAGGCTATAAATCATGTGGCAAAAAATGCTGTTTCATATGGAGATGTCCAAAGGCTGGACGTATGCTGCTCTGCATTTTACCAGGTCCAGTCAGAAGACTGTCGGATGGACTCTCGATCTTTTCTCTTTGCAATCAGAAGCAGCAATTGCTGCAGGGCCAGTTGTCTACCCACACAAACACATTCGCGCTGCCCAGCTCCTACTGCTAGTGCCCCGCGGTACAGTTCGACAGCTTGACAAGCCACAACTTTACTGACTGCTGACAAAGGGAGAACGGCACCACAGCTCATCTCCTCGCTGCCAGAGAAAGAGTGAGGTAGAAAGCATGATATCCCTGCAGAGCTGGCGCAATCGTGCTCCAAAGACAAGGGGAGATTAGGGTGAGAAAATAGAATTTCAGCTGAAAATATTCAAACACAACCATTTTGGAGAAATGTTTCATTCTCTGAAATAAAAGGTGGGGTTCCTTTTTCTTTGGTAAAGGAAAAAAAAAATCAGAAGTAAATAGCCTATTTTCCCCTGCATTGCTCATTTTAAAACTGTATTTTTTTTCTCCAGCTAGAAAATGGTCAAAAAATAGAGAAAAATGCCCTCTCATTTTACTATACATGATCATAGTTTTTCCACCATTTACCCTTAGAAGTCAGTAAAACGTTTCTTAAAACATCATTTTCCAAGCTAAATCAATGCCCTGATTCTTAATTGAAAAAAAAAAAAAAATGTCTCCCTATTTGCTTACACTTTTTTTTCAATTGGGAAACAGAAAGAAAGACAAGCAAACTGCAGGAAAAAATAATCCATATTTTAACAAATATTTCCCAGGGAAACACTAGAAATTTCCAGTGGGAAATTCTAGTAAGGTGGACTCCTGTACTAGAATTTCCCAAGTGAAATGTGCTGAAATGTCAGTTTTCTGCCCAGCTCTTTTTCATAAGTACACACATGCGCATGCTAAATTAAAAACTACTATTGATTTGATATCTATATCAGTAATCTAATTTTGGCAAGTTTCAAGATTGAATCAATGTGTCATTGGCAGCTCCTCCAAGTTTCTCAACATGACTTCAAATAAGTTTACAAGAGTGCTGGAGGATCCCAGGTTTGGCCATGCATACCAGTAGAGGACTTTAGTCCATATTATATAGTTTACAAGAGTGCTGGAGGATCCCAGGTTTGACCACGCATGCCAGTAGAGGATTTTAGTCCATATTATATACTTCATTGGTTCTTTGAAAGTGTTGAGATGATGAATAAAGGGTATGGTTATGGATCTCACCCTAAAGGCTTAGTCATACTCCTTTTTTTAAAAAAGCTCCTACCTGCACAGATGCAAGGGTGTCTGTGGGCTATTTGACTTTTCTTTTCAAACACTGGCATACTGATTGAATGCACCAATACTCACGATATGGTTTCATAGTTTCATAGTTGATTGGGTCAGAAGGGACCTAAGCAGATCATCAAGTCCAACCCCCTGCCATGGGCAGGAAAGGATGTTGGGGTCATGGTTTATGGCTCTTACCTAAGATAAGAGAACAAATGCTTCACAGGCTGGGACAAGTCTAGGGGATGTAAGGAACAATACTTAAGAGTTTTCCCAGGGGAAAAAAAAGCAATGGTAGATTTGAGAGCAGACAGGGAGATCTTTGGACTGTCTCTTAACACCCACTGTTTTCAGCCGGTAGGAATGAAATCAGTGGAACTATGTCTCTTGAGAACAGTATCAATGCACGGCTAATGCATAATCATTATAACAGAGATCTGGGGTTTCAAGACACAATTACTTGTGCATAGCCTCAGCATGAATGAAATAAAACCAAATTCAGTTGATCCGCATGCTACACCTTGCTGAGTCTAGTCAGTCTTTCACCCCCTCCCAGCTCCAGCCTCCTCTCCCATTTCCAGGGATGTGAAAACAATCTGCTGGTTTATGGAAGCCAGACACCCTCCACCCTTGGAGACCAGACAATGATGCCACAGGAAAGGAGGCTGAGGGAAAGGCTAGACAGTTTGCTGGTTGGACTCCAAGAGTGAGGGTGCAAGGAAGACAAAACAATGAAGGGCACTCGCTCTGGCTGCAATGGTGAAAACAGCAGGACCGAAACTAAACAATGTCCACTTTTATTGTAAGCTCTATATGGATGTTGGGAGCAGAGCATGGGCCAACAGACACGATGAAAAAAATTAACATTTCTCAATCTGAGACGCATTGAGTATTTTGCTTGAAAGAAGCAGAAGAGAAAGAAATGAGAATGAGGTTAGGTTACAGGACCGATGACTCATGCAACTGGCACCTGGCTGACTGTTTTAGCAGACAGGCCCAGAGACTTGGCCCGTGAACTCCTTCTTTACCTCCACACGAGAGATCAGTTCCAGGCCAGGAGTGTGCTACATTGGCAGTAGCATAACTAATGCAGGGGGAGAGGTGTGTGTGCAAAAATAGCAGCTGCCATAGCCGGTGACCGGCTGTGCCACTGCCCGCGGCACAGAGCTGCCCTGTTACACCTCTGCATAGTCACAGGGCTGTGTGCAGCAGCTGTGCAAACTTTAGCCATCAGGATTATCAACCCAGCTCCCTTCCCCAGCCAATGCCCATTTAAAAAGCAAAAGGCCAAGAGGGATAGTTGCTGAACTTTTCCCTGCCAGGGACGTCAGATAAGCAATACCTTGTCTCCCCGAGTCCCCTTTTCTCCTCTTTCTCCTTGCAGACCCTAAAAAAGAAAAAAGAAATGTTAAAAGTCATCTTCCAACGTAGTCCATATTCTCCTCTTTAAAGCAGGAAAGAGTCCATTCACTAACCCCTGGGGCAGTCTCTGGCAGTGCTTCATTTAGCACTGAGTGACCAAACACAGCATTATTTGACAGGGCTGTTTCGTAACTGAGTAAAAATATTCCATCCCAATGGTGCAAAATGCCTTGGTGGTGGAGACACCTAACAGTCACCACTGACAGCACGGCATAACCCCAGACCGCTGGCCCCAACTAAGGCCTGAATGAGAGGAAAAGTCTATTGAAGTGAATTTGGCCCACACCATTGTGTACTTCAGAGAGAAAGGCAGTGGTTTGTTGGGAAGGGACGGCTTCCACCTCACTCCTATGGGAAAGAAAGTCTTCTCGGCCAGAATGGCTGACCTGCTTGACAGGGCTTTAAACTAAGATTGTCAGCGGGGATGGGCAGACAATCACCAGTGCAAGCCCAGGAAGTGACAGCCACAGAATCAGGTAATGCAAGGAAACTCACTCCTACCCCAGCCCAAGGACAGGACTCTTCTAAGAGCGCAGGGAAACCCAGAGTTTCTGAAGGCAGGCTTAGCTACCTGTACACAAATGCCAGGAGCATGGGGAACAAACAGGAGGAACTGGCCCTTCTGCTAAGCAAACATAAATACAATCTCATAGGGATAATGGAGACCTGGTGGTACTCCACCTATGACTGGATCACAGGTATAGATGGCTATACCTTGTACAGAAGGGATCGTGTTGCAAAAAAGGGCAAGGGTGTAGCTCTCTATGTGAAGGAGCAGTACACTTCCCTACAAGCAGAGATTGGCACCCAAGGAGGGCAACTTGAGACCCTCTGTGTTAGGATACGGGGAGAACATAGTGAAGGGGGTATAACTGTAGGAGTCTATTACAGACCTCCTAACCAGGAGGAAGAGCTTGACCATGAATTCGCTAGGGAACTGGCAGAGGCTGCACACCCTTGGTGAATGGTTGTCATGAGCAGCTAAACCACCCTGACAGCTCATGGGAAGAGCATTCAGACAAATCGGATCAGTCGCAAAGCTTCTTCACTTGCATTGACGAGCTCTATTTGACTCAAGAAGACTACGGGTCAACAAGAGGCAAGGAGCTGCTGGATCTGGTACTGGCCAAAGAGGATGATCTAGTGAGTGACCTGAGGATCAAAGGGAAGCTTGGTCACAGGATCATGAGTTGATCATTTCCTCTATCCATTGCAAATCTGGAAAATCTGTCAGCAACACAGAAACCCTCAACTTTAGGAAAGCTGACTTTCACAAGCTCAAGAGGTTGGTTATCAAGACCTTGAGAGAACATGACAGGGAGAGGAGTCCATGACGAGTGGTCGTTCCTTAAGGACATAATCCTAAAAGCACAAGGGAAGTCCATTCTGGCTCATAGGAAAGATAGCAAAAGGGCTCAGAAACCCCCTTGGCTCAATAGGGAACTCACGGAGCTCCTGAATCTGAAAGGAGACAGTTATAAGGGATGGAAGTTGGGAAATACCACTAAGAAGGATTATGCAACACCGGCCTGCACCTGTAGGGAGAGGACCAGAAAAGCTAAGGCTTAAACTGAACTCATACTGGCTACGAAAATCAAGGACAATGAAAAGTCCTTCAGAAAAAAGCCAAGGGCAATGTTGGACCCTTGCTGAACCAAAGAGGACAGCTGACAACCAACACACAGGACAAAGCTAATCTCCTCAACGATTACTTTGCATCCATTTTCCACCAGCGCAAGGGGATCACCCTGCCTGACAGGATGCAGGATTACCAGGGTGAGGGCGACTATATGCCTACAATTGTTTAAGGCCTTGTGAGGGAACAGTTTGAGAGGCTGGACATCTACAAGTCAGCTGACCTGGATGGAATGCACCCAAGAGTGCTAGAAGAGTTGGCTGACATCACAGCACAACCAACGACAAGGATATTTGAGAACTCACGGCACTTGGGAGAGGTTCCAGAAGACTGTAAGAGGGCCAAAGTGGTGCCCATCTTCAAGGAAGGAAGGAAGATCCAGGGAACTACAGGCCAATCAATTTGACCTCAATCCCTAGAAAGATCTTGGAAAAAATTATCAAAGAAACCATCAACAACAGGCTAACAGAAGGCAATGTTCTGAGAGAGGGCCAATATAGCTTCGTTGTGGGTAGGCCTTGCCTGGCCAACCTCATGTCCTTCTATGACCAGGTGACGCATCACCTGGACAACAGAGAAAAGGTTGATGTCATATATTTGGATTTTTAAAAAAAGCTTTTGACTTGGTCTCCCACGATGTCCTCACGGCAAAATTGGGGAGCTGTGGCCTTGACAAACTTACGGTCCGATGGCTGGGGAACTGGCTCCATAGTCAGACCCAGAGAGTGACAGTCTCTGTGAGTCAACATGGAGCATGGTGACCAGTGGCATCCCCCAGGGTTCAGTACTTGTACCAGTACTCCTTTATATATTCATAAATGGTCTGGATTCAGGTGTCAGAAGCGGACTGGCTAAGTTCACAGATGATACCAAATTATGGGGAAGTGCGGTCATGCTAGAGGATAGGCTGGTGATTCAGGCCAACCTGGACAGGCTCGCAAGGTGGGTGGATCAAGACCTGATGGCATTCAAGACAGAGAAATGCAAGGTGCTCCACGGCGGGAGAAAAAACCCACATCATACTCAAATGCTCAGCAGTGCTATACTCACAAGCAGCACGACCGAAAGAGACTTGGGGTTCATGACTGACCACAAGATGAAAATGAGCTACCAATGCAATGCTGCAGCTGGCAAAGCAGGTAAAACCCTGGCTTGCATCTACTGATGCATCTCAAGCAAGACCCAAGAAGTCATCCTCCCACTTTACTTGGCCTTGGTGAGACCACAGCTAGAGTACTGCATCCAGTTCTGGGCTCCACATTTTAGAAAGGATGTGGAGAAGCTTGAAAGAGCCCAGAGGAGAGAGACACACGATTCGAGGTCAAGAGAACAGGCCTTATGAGGAGAGGCTGAGAGCCGTGGGACTCTTCAGCCTGGAGAAGCTAAGGCTCAGGGGTGACTTGGTGACAGGCTATAAGTACATCAGGGGTGTGCATCAGGATCTGGGGGAACGCCTGTTCAGCACAGCACCCCAAGGGAAGACAAGGTCCAGTGGTCACAGACTGCTGGAAGACCGTTTTAGACTGGGCAGAAGGAAAAACTTCTTTACCGTCCAAGTCTCCAGAGTCTGGAATAGACTCCCCGCAGAAGCAGTGCAAGCACCTACTCTGCATACCTTTAAGAAACGCTTGGATGCTTATCTTGCTGTGGTGATCTGACCCCACCTGACTTCCTGCCCCTGGGGCAGGGGGCTGAACCTGATGATCTCATGAGGTCCCTTCCAGCCCTAATGTCTATGAAATCTATGAATTCAAACCACAGCCTCCTGATTAAAGTGGAAGCCACAGAATTTGCTGTGACTTAGCCGACTGACAGACACCCTGAATCTCAGATGGGCTTTACCACCGTCGTAGAATCCGAATGATTAACTAAAACCCCGCTGCAACCAGCCAAGTACACTGCGTCAGCAGAGGCCTGTCAGAAACTGCTAAGGTGTTAAATGTTTTCCATTCTGGTGACTTTATATCTTAATACTTTGTGCATCTCTACATTTAAGTACAGCTGCCTCATCCAAAACTTAATGGAAACTGCCTGCCTCCATTTATTTGGTCCAGAGGAAAAATTAGATGGTTCTTGAGCTGTTAAGATTCCAAGCCAGATGTGAGTATTATCGAACTCTGGACAAGCCCGTCCATCTCTGACAGTGTATTTGCGATCAAACTGTCCTCCTGGAAAAACATCTCACCTGCTATTGTCATGTCTGATAAAGTCACTTGTTTGCACTGCAGACTCTATAATGCAAAGACAATTGTTTGCTCCATACACATACACATATATACACACATACATATGCGTGTCTGTATGTGCATATATATATATATATATATATATATATAGAGAGAGAGAGAGAGAGGTATGTATGTATGTATGTAATTTAAGTCTTATTTAAGCGAATTGTCATACATAATTTTTATTTCTTCTATCGCCCACTAGAGCCCAAACTTGGACATCTTTTGGAAGTGCCATAAGCTCTTTCTATCTGGGCAGGCATTCAGCAGACAAACCTAGACTGCAATGTTGTTTATTGGGTCTTTGTTTTACATTGATATTCTCATTCCCTTTTAGGTTACTCTGTTCTCTTGTTTTTTAAGTTATTCTGTTCTCTGATGGTAAGCTGCCCGAGGCTTTTTCAGGAAGGGCAGCAAATGAATCAAATAACTAAATAGATCGCTTCAATAGATACATTAATTAATCAATAAAAATAGATAAATAAATAAAATGAGTAAAAAAAATAAATAAATACATTAATAAATAAAATATTTATATATTTAAGAGACAATCATGCCTAAAAGAAAGTCTAGTGAATAAGATGGACCAGAATCCTTGGAGTTCACTTTCATAGCTCAACCCGGCCTCTGACATCAAAAGAGTTAAGGGGGAGATAGGAATTTCAGTGTTCATCTTTAGCAGCAGTGTATAATCATTAAGGCCTAAAATACCCTCTGCAATTGCTTTCATTTATGAGACTGGCAGCACCGCACGTTGTAGCGTTTTACAACAATCCCATGGAGTTATACAAAGAGTGAGGTCACAAATCTTGCTGGGCCACATTGGAAGGATGGGTGCCTGTAGCTGTGTAGAGACGCTGCTCCCATGCACTGTAATTACAGCTCCTTGGAGCAGACTTCATTAATTGAGTCTGCTGGAGTGTGCTAATTAGCGTGCTCCAGCAGCCTTCGCGTCTCATATATTCAGCATCCTTGTGCTTTAAAATGGCAGTGGGGGTGCTTTAACTATAGTGCATCAAGCGAGCCTTAGCTAAAGCACCCCTGCCTCCATTTCGAAGCACAGGACACTGAATACATGAGATGCTGCAGGTGCTTTAATTAGAGCGCATCACAGAGCTGCTCTAATTAAAGTGCCTCACCACTCACCCTTAGTGCATGTGTAAAGACACCCTATGAGAATAGAAGAGAAACTGGCCATCCAATTTAATGCCTTTGGGCCAATGCCAAATGCTTTAAAACAATTCATGATCTACCCCAGGCACTGCAATACACCTAGTTGTGTCCAGTGGTGGAGATGTTCCCTGCCACATGGCCTTTGTGCCTTTATCCTAAGCACGGTAACTGAAATTCTGTTCTTTGAGTTCCCATAGGAGGAATAACAGAGCAAACTTTGACAGCATCCCATTCTGCATAGCAATTACCATGCCACTTCCAAAAGCAGATTGGGAGAGGTTAGAAAAACCACGCTTCTCCAATGCTCTAACGCCTTGGGGCCCACCTGCTCACTGCAGTGGCCAACCGTATCCCGGTTCCTCGGTAACTATGCAAACCGGATGTCAGTTGGGTAATGAAAACAAATGGGGTCGTTCTCAACAGACCCCAAGCAGCACTGAAGCCTGACACTGAAAAGGCTTGCTTCCTCACACACAGGGATGGCTTGAGACACAGCAGAAAATACCCTCCTAACTTTCTTCAAATGGGGCCACGTGTGCAGTTGAGCTTTTTGTTGCAATGTGGCTAAGCACTGCTGTGCCTGATTTGCAGTCCTAGGGATCATCCAGGCAGATTGCTTTTTGCTTTCAGACATTTTAGTAGTAATATTGTAGAGACCCTTGCCACGTCCCACACAAAAAAGAACCCCTTCCTCATATCCATTTCAATTCCAGTAGAAACCAGCCCTTACACAGGAGTTGGCACACACCTGTGTTGCCTGGGGTTATGAGTGTTAATATTGCTGTTGCTTTCATCAAATGTTATCAATGCCCTGTTAGTGTTCAAGTTTTAGGAACTACGATGCCGGCAAAAGTTGCAGCCAGGGGATCCCATCACTGATCTTGTATTAAAGAATAACCATAGGCTTGGTTCAGTGGGAAAAATTTGGCCAGGTTTATTTGCTACAAGCACAGCCCCAACACATTTTGGCCTAACAAGTACACTAGACCAGAACTTAAGGCAGGGGTGGGTGAAATGCGGTCCGCAGGCCAGATGCGGCACACCAGGCCATTATATCTGGCCTGCAGGGCCCCTAAAAAATTTAGAAAATTAATATTAATCTGCCCCTGGCTGCCTGTCACACAGCCCTCGATGGCTTGCTAAAGCTCAGTAAGCGGCCCTCCACCCGAAATAATTGCCTGCCTCTGAGTTAAGGCATTTGTACCTGTGACAAGGTAGTTGGCACAACACCACACAGGCTGAAACCTGCACCTGCCCCAGGGTATAAAACTCACAACCCACTTGAAAAAACCTAAGCCAGAACAGAGAAAGCTTTAAATGCACCAGCAGGTCGGGCATGCCATTTCAGTGTGCCAATGCACACGCTATACCCAGGTACAGCTGCTCTAAAGTTTACTTTAAGTTGGATTTTGCTATGATAGGGCCAGTAAAAAAGCTGATAACTTAATACTTGATTTATAACTTCTGGACGTGCTGTACATTCAATAAGGTGCCCCTATGCCTCTCATGGCTAAAATCCAGCACCCCAAATTGTTCTAAAATAACTTCTGGTAATAAACATCAGGGGGTGGCACTGTCAGACTGGTCTGTGATATACCACTGATGCCGTATAGTAATGTCACAATACACCAATCCAACAAATTGTTTGAATACTGCATTTTATGCAAATGAGTAACCCTGCCAAAAGTGCCTAGGCTTCCTAGTAATTTCTATGGGCTGTTCTATACTCATACACTGAGCATATTTACCTGGGTATGGCCTATTTGCTTCTAGATCCAAACTAAAGTAATGAACTAAAGCATGGAATCCAGGAAGTTTCACCATATATATCCAAGGTGAGTAAGTGGTGCAGTAGACATCTCTAGAGCATGCAACAAAGGGTTACCTATGCAGAACACACCAAAAAAGTGGGGCAAGTTTCCAGATGGGAGAAGTGTTCTGCTGATAAAATATGATCAATGAATGATGACTTACAGGCGCTCCGACATAGCCTTTGATTCCCGGTGGGCCTGGTTTTCCCTCTGATCCCTGGTAAAGAAGGAAGACACAGAAAGAGAGGTGAGGATCACAAATTGGGGTTATTTAAGAGAGAAAGCAATACATAAATTCGTTCTGAAATTAAACGTGCCCTCCCTGGTCCAAGCACAGGTCCCTGACAGCTGGTTCATTTGCATTTAAGCACCAAATACCCAGAATGCTCTTCCACCCCGCTGCAGCTTACCTTCCCATTTCGCTCCCTGGGCTCAGACACTGGTACTGCTGCTGCTGCACCAGGTCCTTTGCCTTTCTACCACGTTACCTGCCCTTTGAAGGCAAACTGAAGCATGGAGATTTCTACATGAGCTGCTTCCAAAGCTGCAAATGGGACCGATGATGTGATTTTGGCACTTCCCTATCTGCACTCTGCCTCTCCCAGCTGGGCAAGATCAGTCATTCTGAACACGGCACAAGTGAAATAAAATGCAGGCTGGGAAGGCAGCCGGTCCGGGAGTCGAAGACGGGCCCCGGTGATAAGGGAAGCCTCGGAGCTCAGAGGAGCGTGCACCATCCTTGTATTCGCATGCTTGGTTGAAGAGTGACAGATGGGGTTAGGAACTTGTTCCCCAAATGGAAACTTAAGAAATAAAAGACCACATTCTCAAGCTGCCCGTCTCTCGGAGGTGCGGTGAGGGAGCCTGTTCTGATTCAATGATCCTGGAGCCAATTCTGCATTGGCTGTTGAGGAGCCATCTGCCGGGCAAGGCCAGCTGGAAGGCAGCAGGCTCTTCCCCTTGTAGCACAACGCAGGGCAAACTGCAGGAGGGTCTGCTGCAAGGCCCAGCCACAGAACAATGCAAAGAGTCTGGAGAGACAATGGACTCAAGTGTTTCAAGAAGGCCCCGTTAGATCCCCGGTTTATTTGGTTGTTCCATTTGTGCTGTTTAAATACAGATTTTTTTTTGTTTCCTCCAGTTGTTGGACCCTCCTAACACATAAGGCCTCCATTACAAAAAGAGTGAGTTTTTTGTCTGAAATGTAGCTGTGCAGGATTTCAGCAATATCACGTGCCTGAGATTTCCAGATGAAATGAGGGCATATAAAAGCAGGCTGTGCTTGCAAGGGCCTCTCAGCAGGGTCAGGGGCTGTAAGGACCAAACTTCAGATGCAAATGGCCAGGAGGGTCTTGGCGTCATGAGCTCCACTTGCACTGTGACTCGCACCTAGTCACACTGTCATCCCAAAAGAGCTGTTGAATCTGGTCCTGGCAGGGGATGACATGGGCATGGCCCTGCTGTGTTCAAGCAGTTTCGAGGAGAGATATTATGATGTTTTATTTTGTTTTGCCAGAAGGGGATTTTTATTGTAGAAAGCCAAAATGCCACAAGACAAGTACTATCCTGCTGTGGAGTAAAAACTCTGCAGCAGTTCAGGTATAGACACTGCCCGGCTGGCTGGGGTACAAGGGTGCTTCGGTGCAGGGGCTGGCTGGTGGCTAGCCCCACACTTAAACACCCTCGTGCCCAAGCCAGCTCCTCCACAGCTCTTTGAGTCATGGGGAAGCAGTCCTGGGCTGGCAGGATGACCTCTGGGGCCCCCTGGCAGCCAGGGCTTCTCTGAACTGGCTCAACATGCTGCAATCCCAGATGCACATGTAAATGCACACCCGGAGCAATAAACTCCAGTGCGATAATCACTGGAGTTTACTGTACCTCATTAATATGCATGTATAGACTGGAGGCAATAAGCTATTCTACCCACCATTTTTCAGGGGCCCCCTTAGTTTGACACTAATATAAGAAGATCGGGTAAGAGTTTTATTATTGCACTGCAAAGCTCACTCGGTCTTGGGACTAAAACACTAAATGCACTAAAATGATGCATTAGATGCACTAAAACACTACTGAGCTGTTATCATCTTGCTCTGAGAGAGGACCTGACCATGCCGAGCCAGACAGAGGTACCCAGTGGTCTTCACCTCCAGTGGCTTTGTCACTAGTCTGAGCACCTAGCATGGGAGACTTGGTTTTCTCTCTCACCTCCTTCAAGTCTCCATTTCCTTCTTTGCCTTATTTCTTCTCTGTCGTAGCTCTCTTCTTACCTCCTGCGCAATAGGAGCCGGCTGAGTCTGTATGCTTTGCCGCACTTCTCTAGGTCTGTGACTACACAAGCAGCTAAGAACAGCTGACTTACAAAGCCTCATACTAGTACAAGTGTGCCAAGTTTCTAAGTGCCCAAAGAGATCATATGCTGTGCCTGTCTTTCGTTAGCAGGGAGGCTGCAAATAAGTGTCAGCATCAGAAAGAGAGTCGGCAGTTTTTATCTTCGCTCTTCTTTCCTCTCCCCCTTTGTGCGCGTTTTCCTTGCTTTGTCTTCAAGGAAGCAGTGAGCAAGAGCAGCAAGTGCCCGGTCCATCTCAACTAACTACTTCTCTTTCCCCAGACAGGGCAGTTGATGCCAA